AGAGCTGGTTGCAGCCCACCAGGAGACACGACACAGAGGCTGGTCACAGCTTGTCGCAGGATTTGGTGCATTATTTAGGCAAAATCCTCCAGCTTGTGTCAGGCAAGAAGTCAGGTTGGAGAATTAGGGTGGTGCTAGCCGGCCTGAAAGCCTCCCAGCTGGCTATGCCCTGGGTTGGGATGAAAGGCCGGATTTCTCACACCACCACAAACAGGGCAAAAAGGAAGAAGACTGTCAAGTGCTCTGCCTCCATAACCCAGGGCTATTTTTTTGCGAAGAGCTGGAATGCCCTGCTTTGGGAAGGTTCTTGTTGCACGTGTGTCCTTAGAAGCGTTGACTTTCTTACTGCTCACCTGTCCTGAAGCGAGAGTCCTGTGCATCGATAAATGGGGTTTGGTGACTTTCCTGGTAGCCCCCCTTGGTTGCACACTCTTTGGCAAGCTGCAGAACTGACTTTTTGCTTCCTGCCAAGATCAGGCTCCGGGGGGTTTTTGTTTTGTTTTTTTTTTTTTTTCCAGAAGAGAACGTGTGCTTTCACTGGCAAGCTTTGTGCCTGAGCACTGGCTCTTTCCAAACTCGGGATGCCAAGACTGTTTTTATATATCTGCTTCCTTTACAAGGACATCAACAGGCACTCCACCCATCCCAAGTTTTGCATCCCTTGATAGGCTTCTCTTTCACAATAAATCCTCAAATACAATGGGGTGTTCCTCCCAGAACTAAAATAACCGTAGAATTCATTAGCGGACTCGGCAGCCAGGGATGAAATTTGTTCCCTGCTTGACATCCTTGAAACGACGGGCACACCCTCGGGGCTGTGGTAGCTGGCAAGCCAGGCGGAGAGGGGAATCCTAGGGCTGCTGCGGCCAGTGGGGGTTTCCTTGCGGTCAGGATTTCATCCCAAGGCTGGGCTGAAGTGGGAAGGGGTGGTTTTTCCTGCTCTTCCCGTCCTTTAGGGCAGGGTAGCCTTTCCCACCCAGACTGGAGTCAGATATGCTGTAGCATTTCGCCTTCGCTGAGCTCTGGTGCTGCCTTTACCTGACGCTTTCTCTCGACGATTTCCAGCGAATAATAACATCGTGATACAGCTGATGCCTACGGAGCGACGGAGATAGGGACCATCAGGTGGCAGTTCAGGAGCTTTGGTCCTTCTCCGCTGGTTGTAAGGAGAGCCCAGAGAGATTAGGCTTCTAATGGAGATGCCTTAATTGAGTGCCTGGGGATTAGATGGCATGAATCTGACCCCAAATGTCCCTCTAGGCAGACGGTGAGTTAGAACTGAACTTGAACTGGGACATGGGTCTGGAAGAGGCCTTCTCAGCTGTTAGGTCAACCACGTTTAGCCCAAGAGCATTCAGAGCCTGCTCATCCGTCCTACCCCAAAGCACATGGACCCACAGAACTCCTTTCACCCCTTTCAGCGGACTTACAGCTTCAATAGGTGCTGATGGGTTTCGCTCTTTTATTAGTAATATACCACAGATGGAGAAATCAACAGTGTCCCTTAGGGCTTGTATCATCAGGGGAGAAGCTGCGTGAAAGTGCCCAGCCGATCTTTAAGAATTGCATCTTATCTTTAAGCGCAAAGCAGGGGACAGGACTCCTTCATGGCCCCAAATCTGGCAATCGGTGTAGCCTGAGCACGCGAGCAGGGTGCATCAAGCAGGCATCCGCAGCGGGGTAAGGACCAACGAAATGAAATTCCGGAAGTTTCAGACCATCTAGCTGGAGGAACCTCACCACCTCTGCTGGGCCAAATTTGTGTTTGATCTGATTTTGTAAAATTAAAGGGGTGCCAAACTGGGGTGATTGCCTGTGATCCGCTCCAGCAGTGGCTTTTGCCAAGACTGGCCAGCTGTGAGAACGAAAACCTTCCCGTAAGGAGCCGTCCTGGGAGCCACCAGCATGTCCTGTGGACGACCGAGCGGCTTTGGGACAGGGGACGGCTTTGAAGTCGCTGAGGACCGCGTGAGCATGATTCCCCCTACCATGCAGCTTGTGCTGGCGTTTTATTTTGGCCTTTGCGGGCAGATGCCCCTGGGAGAGATCACGCTGAGCCAAAAAGCTGTGTGTGCGCTTGCCTTAATTTCAGTCTTCAGCCTTACGTGATTTTTAGCGATTATCTAAATGTCTTCTTTTTTAATTACTACAGATTCAGGGAAGCTCCTGGTTGGGCACGGTGAGTGAACCCAGAAGGACGTAACAAGGTGAATTAAACACCCACTATTCTTTGCTTGGGGGAGATTTTAAGCAGGGTTGACATCTTTATCCCTTCACTTGAGGCAGCTCGGGCAAAAAGAAGAGAGGCAAATCGGTGTTAACGTGGGTGTCTCCTCCCTTTGAGCACTCTGAGTCACTCAACCTTCATGTTCTCTCGCTTCTTGGCAAGTGGCACATCCAATGGGGTGAACAGTTCAGCTGCCAGCGCTACGGGCACTTGTGGTTGTCCCAGTGCCCTAAGAAAATCTTGGACCATGGGTGTAGGGAGCTCCCAAACTCCAGGGATCTCCAGCTGGCTTTGTCCTTCGTGTCCTGCTGCTCCTCTACTTTTTTTTCAGCTGATGGTATAAAGGTGCCTTTGTGGCAGAGTTGCTCTGGGCTCTGAGAGGCAAAGTGGGATTCTCTGGCCTCAGAAACCCGCGCGCGGAGGGGCACCGCTGCTGGCACTCTGCAGTGAAGAGCCTGGTGCGAGGCGTTGGTTCTGCCACCCAGCGTGGCTCCAGACGCTCGTCCCTTGGCAAGGCAGGGGAGGCAGCGGGCTGGCAGAGCCACGGTGGCTTGAAGGACGAGCAGGACTGCAGCTCGGGGTGTTTTGCTTATGCTGCTGTTCTGGGAAGACCAAAGCGTTCAGGTGGGTGATGATGCGGCGCTTGGTCACGATGTTTTATAACCAAATTGTTCTCTACTTTTTGTTGTAGGTTGAAAACTTGGTCCGCCATCACAACGCTGGTTTAGTGCTGAGTATCCCCCACGAAACTCCTGACAGGTGAGCGAGTGGTATGCTTTTCGGCGAGCAGTTCATTCGAGGTCATGCAGCAGGTTTAGGTTGAAAGCAGAATTTGGACGATCACGGCTCAAGGTGCAACTGCTGCTTCTCGGAGCAGGAGCGTTGGACGAATCGAGCCATACGTTAGGCACCGTCCGTTTAGAAAAGGCCCCAGGGTAACGCCTTCAGATGCCCCACGTGGCCCGGAATTCGCTGTGGTTTATATTCTCGCTGTGTGAGAAAATGAGAGCCGAGGTGTGTAGCACTTTATCCCTGCCTTATTTACAAGCAGTGGGAGAATGCCCTGTGAAATGAGCAGCTAATTTTAGGTGACAACGTAGTTTAAGGTGCCAAGCCTTCCAAAAGGGGAAGGAATGTGTCTCCAGCTAGACTGCCTTCAGCTCCGAGCTGCTCTAGGGCGCTGGATGTTTATGCCACCTCCAGTACATTAAATCTTCTGTGTGGAGACATAATCCTTTGTTGTGACATTAGGAGAGGTAGCTGTTACAGAAATGGTTGTGAAATCCTTCCTCTCATGGAAGAGGAGAAGAAGGAGGTGCATCTGAGGTGGTTTGCACTGCGCTAGTGCTCTCCAGCCCCCAATCCCAAGGGGCTTTCCCAGTGCTAATGAATTAAGAGCAGGAGTTGCCTGTTTCCACCCGTGGCCAACCAGTGGCGTAGGGAGCGTGGAGGCTCATCTGGTGGTGTGCAGGGACCTGAAAGGACCTGAGTGAAACGCTTGGTTCCCAGCTGAGATGCCCTACCCTCGGAGGCAGGAAGGAAGGAGGCTGAATTTAAGTGACCCGCTACACACTCCTTGTATTTTTCTTCATCTCCTGCCCTACTTCCCAGCACACTCTTCTGGGATGTGGCCGGGACGGTACGGCACAGCTCACGCTGCGTGTGCTCCTGCCCCTTGCTTGATGTTGGCTCAATGCAAGCGCGTGGATCTTGCCCCACTTCTACCCTGGAAAAGTTCCTGGACTCAAAGGCACGGCTCCATCTTTTTAAGGCCACTTCACGGGCACCACAGGGGACTCCTGTCTGGTACCCAACCTGCTCTGTCACACCCCAGGCCAGCGAGGACTAAGAGTGCCCTCTGCTGCACTCCTTCTCCTCAGCTTTCCATGGCAGCATTCCGCAGGCTGTTTGGGAATAAACAAAACAACTCTTCAATACACAAACCAACTCTTTCCTATTCCAAAGGGGTTTTTGGTGCAGGTGGTGCGGAAGCCTGGTGCTGTGTTTCAGCAGCAAACAGAAAAAGCTCATGCCCTGAGCTAAAACTCTGTGACACCCTGCATCAACCCCGAGGCGCAAATAAAGCACTGCAGGGCATCGCCGTCCTTTGGCAATAACCTTCACCCTGTAGCTTTTCATGGCCTCCCAAAACAAGCAGCTCCTCGTGGCAGGAGTTCACACAACAGTCTTTACAGTCGTGAAACTTTCATTTCTGGGAGCTGGCAGCAGCAAGCGCTGGTGAGGCACGGTCCGGCGTGGTCCCTAATTGCGCCTAACGGAGCTGAACTTTCCGTCTCTCCCTCCTGTTCAAAGGAAAAACACTGAGCACCACAAAGCTCTGCTTATTCAAGCCCTGGGCTCTCGCAGCCAAAAAGGAATGGCTGTAGG